AGAGAACTCTGAAAATACTACTTCTTTACACAAATTTTACCAAGTTGGATTAATATTAAAAGTAAAACCCAAGATAATAACAAATCCACAATCCTGCAAAATCTAGAAAAACTCAAATCACAATTACTACACATCAATCTGATTCTAATTCTATTTGTCTCAATACAAGACAAAGCAATAGTAGCTGAAACACTTGAAAAAATTAAATCACACTTTACTCTAAACATGATTCCCGAATATTTACTCCAACTTTCTAACTTACCTATCCCTGAATGGTCTATTTTTGACAACTATGAACTTGGCAAGCCCTATAAACCATATAATAAACTTACAAAGATCTTCCCCACTACAACTAACACTCAACCTACTACACTATTACTCAAACCTACTACTAATTAAACATTTAATAAACAATAACAACTCTCTGACTAATGATTCTTTATCTACAACTAGCTCAATAAACACTACTCACATTTTTGACTATCTTTCACTACATGATGCCCAAATAATAAACCAAACATTTAATTTAGCACCAAACAGAAACACCTCTACCCTAACCATACAAAACATCTTAAATTATAATATACAGAGTTTTAACCGAGCACTAAAGCTACAACTCCTTCTCAAATACTGTAACTCTAACAAAATTGATATAGCCTTCTTTACTGAAACAAAACTTACTACATCTACCAACAACTCTATTATTTTCTAATCCTCTCTACAAAATTTATATGGCTAATTGTGACCAAGCCAATACAAATATTTAGGAATCTAGCAAAGGAGTTACAATTGCATTTAAACCTACTCTATAGCTCTATATACACAAAATATACTCACTTCCCAACATCATCCTTCTAATAAATCTTCATCTACTATCTAACAATAAAATGCATCTACTTGTAGTGTATTTCTCTTTGTCAATTATACTATATATCTGCACTGTCCAACAACAATTAATTTCCTGAACTCAGGATGCACATTCATGCAATATGAATCTAATTATTGCTAGAGACTTCAACTCAATATCTACCAAAATAACTACTACAAGCATAATCCCTTTCTTCAATATCTTGTTAATACAAGACTAGTAAGCCTACTACAACTACATCATATTACCAACCCTATCTAGAGCAGAAACAACTTATAGAGCCAAATTAATGATATATAGATCAACCCTAAAATCACACTTGTTTTTCATACCTCTCAACTGACCGATTCCCTAACTATCACAAATAGTAACCATTAGATAATTATAACCTTTTGGCAGACCACCTCAATTCACAAACAACTATGACAAAAAAAACAATACCACAAAATCTACAACTATAACTATATAACTTAAGAACTATAGGATGATTTTGCTACCTATATAACTACTCACCTAAGAGCCAGCAACCACTAGTAAAAGCAGATTACAAATATTCAATACCTAAACAAGATATTTAACAATCTTAACAATATAGTTAAACAGGCTGCAGACAAGTTCATTCCATATATCTTTACTAGCCTATGCATCTTTTACACATATTTATTTAAAGTCAGCTTCTTATACCATGTACTAAAACATATTAACCACATCTTGCTAATACTTGCCCGGCCCATTCTCTTTCACTTACAGTACCTGATAGCCACAGTGAATGAACTCCTCAACAAAATAAATACACTTACTAAAGCTACTAGCCAAACTATATCAGCACAAGATTTGTCAGCCCACACACTTCCCATACTAAAGGTCAACTTATACAACTATAGAAAACTCTCTACAGAGCAAGAAACACTGAAAACAACAATCTAAAAAGAGAACAAATCCAAAACTTTATTAACAAACATTATACTAACTTTCAAGAGAACACATCTAAGATGGTCAATAGTATTCTATACAGAAACCAAACTCCTGTGACTTTCTACAACATTTTAACACCATTCTCTATTCTAACTCATCCCCAAGAAATCAAAAAAGCAACAATTCAACACTTTTACAACTAGACTAAATCAAACCTCTATGACGATACACTATGGTATGTATGAGAACAATACTACGAACCAACCCCCAAAGTTACTAAAGATACATACTCGATACTCCTCGTATACATAAAAACAGATGAAGTTCAAAATACTATTATCGCAACACCAAATAATAAAGCAACTAGCCCCTCAGCAATCTCCAATGAAATATTAAAAAAACTTCTCTTCATTGCAATTTTTTTTGCTCACAAAAATCTTTAATGCATATATATCACTTCAAACTATCTCCTTTGCTTGGCAGAAAGGCCTTATCTGGCCTATATCTAAAAAAGATTACTATCCAGAAAACTTTCAAAAACCTGCTCCATCACACTTATCAAACACATTCGAAAGATCTTTACAAAAATACTCACAATACGACTTAGTCAGATCCTTCTATGAAATAACCTGTTAGATTTAGCAAACAATGTCACACTTCTACTAACATCCACACTACAATCTATATAGCTCATTACACATCTCTATAAGGATACTCATATAAACAAGAAAGAACTTTGGATACTGTCACAAGACATTCCAAAGCATATGACACTGTATACCTACCACTACTCCAAAAGGCACTTTACAGACTTAGTATATCACCACAATTCATCAACTTAATTACAAATATTTTTAGCTTATATCAAAATCAGATCATTACAACTCTTGGTAAAACACACTTCTACAATATTGAGATCAAGATGAAATAATATCCTCATACTTTGGCAAATATACTATGACCCTCTAATTCACTGTATTTCTAATTTAATACTTCGCTACACTATATTAGTTGATCTACCTAATTCTAACCAAACACTTACCTTAACTACAAACATAATTGCTTATATGGATGATACTACATAGGTGGCCTCTAACCATACATCACTTAAACAAATTCTCCTTATTGCCTCTTCTTTCTACTATATAGCCAAAATCACAGTCAACTTACACAAATCAATACTATTTCACAACAACTTCAATAACTCAAACCTTATACTCTTTTAAGATCAACCTATATACAATTTTCTAGCCAAACACACTTTTAAATTTTTAGGAACCTACATAGACTACTCGATTGACAATCAAAAAACTCAAGCAAGACTTCTACACTGAATTAAACAAATTAAAGTTCTCTAAAATCACTGAAAAACAAGCTATCTACATTATCAACTCAGTCTTACTAGCTCACTTATGATACCAATTCTCAAACACCTACTTTACCTCACCTAATTGCTACTCTTTAACAAGTCACTATTCCTCAATAGTTAAACAAAAAGACTTGCTAGCCGGCTGTACACCTAACTCCCTTCTATTCTATCTTCATACTTATGCACTAACTAATACTTATTAATTATAACAAACACATTATATATCAATTCTCAAAAATCTACTCAACTCACCTATATTTCTACTAATATTTAAATTATACCTCCAACAACTGAAAAACAATACTTTTACCAACACAACAATACTTACTAACTAGCCAATTTTTATCTACAAAGAATATAAAATATTCATCACTTGCTTAATAACTAATATTTATCAACTTAATATTCAATATACAAATACCAACATGGGTCCAATTTTACTCTCTACACTTAAACACTCTATAAATTATATATTTTACAATCTAAAAAACTGTATACACATTAAATACTGTCTAAACCAACACCAGATCTTGGCAATCAAACAATTTACCAACTACAACAACACTATAACCCTAACCTAGAAAAACTTCTACCACAATATACTCAAAATATCCTATAGTCACCAACCCAAATAGTTCACAACAATCCAAGAAACACTAGGTAAATTTGCTTCACCTTTATTTGAACTCACCTCTTCTAATCTTTTTACTTGGACTCTTACCAAAACTCAAACAAAATGAATAATCACAACAGATCACATTCTTGGCAAAATTACTTTATCAAAAGACAACTTTTTCAAAATTAATATTAGAAACTGAATTATAATACTAATATATTAAACCCCTGTAGCTTATGCCCATATCACGATCGAACAACCCATAATATATGCTGCTCATTTTGGATATCCAAAACTTCTGCCTACTAAATCAAGTATCATCAAAACACACCTGGCATAGTACTTTCTCTAACCTTCAGGTCCCTCCTCCCCTGCTAAAATACACCAATCATCCTGTATATTATATACCTCAAAACTATCAATACACCTTCAAAATGTCACAAACTCTTAGTGAACATGCCAAATATATCTGAAATACATATTTAGTATTTCTAAACCTTGTAACTCTTACAGCACAACTAATAGTCACAACCCACAAGACACATATTCTGATACCTATCTCAATTATCACTCTTACTAACTATACAACAAGAATAGTCATCCAAAATAAGACTTGGCCTAGTCTAGCAAAAATAGCAATTACAGCCTTTTACATACTTCTTATACTAGCCCTATGTATGCAAAAATAAACCTTACTACAAACTTAACCACCTTAATCAAACTTTTGCTAATACTTACTACAGAGAACCCTCCCTAAATGCACCCTCTTCGGACCAAGCACGGGTGTGCATTTAGGGAGGGTGTGCATTTAGGGAATATCCTTTCTCACGTGATAAACTCTTATTATTAGTCGTACAAATCTGTATGTTTCTGTATTTATGAAGGTTATTTGTCATATTTAAAATTCCTATAGTTATAAGTACTATATACTTTGTATATATATTCGAACAATTTATAGTTACTAACTTTATATTAGGCTGATCAAAAGAGCCATTTACAATTTCCAGTGATAATTTTAAAAACTTAACATTAATACGGTTTATTTAATATTTAACAGTTAATAAGAAATATAATTTTTATGAAAAGAGTTACTGAGCTCAAATAGCGGTAAGAAACAATAATAATTTGCTTTTATAAATTAAAATATTGATTCAAATTTGTTTGTTTCATCAAACCAACTTGTTTTGCATTAACAAATTTTTCAATGCTATCAATTTTTTTTATATACTCACCCGATTCTTCTTGCTGGAGTAAAAATATACACATTACTTCTAAGCTTTTTAGTGCCTCGCTTGTGTTTATAATTGTTGTTTCAACACTGTCATCTGCTTCATCAGAATCTTCATTATCAGATTCTTCAGGTTTTTCTTTAAATATTTCAATAATTTTGACCATTAGAGAGTTTTCATCAAGAATTTCACAAACAACTTCTTCTTCTGGAATAGCTAGGAAATCATCTACTTTCATTGAATTAGGTAAATTAAGATTTTCAATCGAATCTGAAAGATTCAGCAGTTCATCAGTTTCTTCGATCTCTTGACTATTTTCTAAAGAAATTTCATTATCATTATTTGAAAGGATATCGTTATGACGCCAACAATTATAGATTGTCCTTTCTTTAACTTCATTCCATGCTTTAATAATATAACGAATTCCTCGTAAGATATCCATCTTCAGATCCTTCACATTTTTTCCACTTTCAACTTCTTCCAACATCCACTGAATATGAAAATGACAATAATTTCTTTTGAATGCTATTATGATTCCAGCATCCATCAGCTGGATTTTAGAGGTTGTATTCAGAAGTAAAAAAAGAATTTCAATATTTGGCAAATCTAAGCCATCTATATTATGACTTGAGCAATTGTCAAGAACTAATAAAACATATTGACCATTATGTTTTTTTGTAATTTGCAGATTAAACCAATGAAGCCACTCTTGAAAAAGAGTTATAAGCATCTAGACTTTTGTATTATTATGATAAAGGATTGGTAAGTTAAAAATCTTAACATTTTTAAAGTATCGTGGCTTTGTATATTTTCTGATTACCAAGGGATTCAGTTTATGGGAACCATCAGCATTTGCACATAGTGTGATAGAAATTCGCTCTTTGTTTCTTTTACGCCCAGTAAGGCATTGTGTTGCTAATAAATAATCAGGTTCCAACCTATAAAAAAGAGCTGTTTCGTCCATATTGTAAATTTGTTCAAGAGGATATTTAGCACATTTTTCTTGTAATAAAGGAAGAGAGTTAATAATAACAGTATCATCAACAGATCCTGCTTCTCTGTGTAATTTTTCTTTATGAATTCCATTACGTTTTTTAAATTTATAGAGCCAGCCTGAAGAAAATTGTAATATACCTTCTGGAATTTCTAAGCCTTTAGAAAGTTGCTTTGCCTTTTCAATCAACATAGCTTCACTTATAACTGTACGATGCTGATAAGTTAATATGAATTCTTTAAGGGCTAGTTCAAACTGAGGAACAGTAACAGATCTATTTCGCCTTTTGTTTGGGTTATTAATTTCAGCAGTAAGCTGTTTTTCTTTCATTTGCAAAATTCTTGTAATGGTTGACTCATGAACTTTAACACCCCATTTATTTTCAATCTATTTTACATATTTACTTCGAGTCATTTTATTTTCATTGGCAAAACGACAAAATTCAAGTTTTTGAACATCAGTTAAGGTATTTTTAGGTGGCATTATAATTGTCAGGAGGCTTTGGATAACAAAAAAAAAAAAATCAAATCTTTCAAGTTAATTACTAACTCGAATGATTTAATTTTTATAGATTCTAGAGAATCAGAAAAAAAAAGATTCTATCTTATTCCGTTTGATCTATCTACTTTATTGAACAAACAAGATCTTATATCTGGGGCTATGTAAAAGAAGTATTTTCATACATATTAATTTTTTTATAGACATTTGATTTATTTAATTACTAACTTTTTATGTGAATTCGAAGCATCTTCTAAATTCACAATACTAAGCCTATTCCTCTTTTTTAGAATTATTACTTTTATTTTTTCTCATGTTTATGTTTGACTATGAACTGTAATTACTTTCTTATTTTGGTTAGCAACTTTGGGTTAATCAGATCATGTATGTCTTGAAGTCATATATATAATGAATAATAATAGATCGTATGTTACGATTTGACATGAGTAATTATTTTTGATTCTAGTGAGACCAGAAAATTAGCGAGTCAGTCACTAAACTATCTGGGCATTGTGTAATCTATGATCGGCTTAATCAAAAGAGGCGGTTATATTTGGCGTGGAGATTATGGTTATAGGTATATCTTTTACTTATAACAGGAAATGAATAATATACAATACCGTCTCTACTTTTTATTCACTAACAATTCAATAACCACGGCTTGGATCTTCCTCTTGGATCTCAAACCGGAACACAAAACAACTACAACTATCCACGGTACGTTGGGAGAGTTGGAAAACCATAACTATCTGCAGTACGTTGAGATAGTTGAAAAATAACAACCACGGAAGTTCTCAGCATGTTGAGAATCAACCGGATAGCAATCTTCAATAAAGTCACATAAGCAAGGCAATTATGTGAACGAAGACCTTTCACTATACCACCTAGTGATAGATCTGGGTTTGAGTAATTTATTAGAGCGTATTTATATAGAAAATTAGGTTTGTATGGGTCAAATAGATACTTTATATTGGGGACGATAATTGTAAGCAGCATGAAACTTAGTCTTCTTAGGGCCTTCATGGCCTTTATTTATAATAAAGATTCAGTATTACAACAAAAGCAATAAATATAACAAATAAGATAAATAGAACAAAAGTGATAAATTAAACAAAAGTGATAAATTGAATAAATATGATAAATTGGATAAATGCGATCAACAAATTGTACTTGACCCTGTGATTATGGGTTGTATTGAGCCGCAGTAGACTAAATCGGTTGCCAGGTTTACACTAGACCAAAATGTTATTACATATATATATAATTGGTTTAGATTCAAAATAATTATATTGTGAAACATACTGATATGTCAACATAATCTAATTCTGCATTGTATATTACTTCATTAAAATTTTAATAAATAAATTCTTTGCTTTGCAATGAGATCTCTAAGATAGCGAATTACAATATATAGTAAAGATGCATTTAAGAGAGTTATTTTTCTATATGTAATATATAGATGGGATCTAAAAAATTATTGCACGTGCAGGTTAGGGAGTGTGCATTTAGTTCTTAAGTCCCAAACATGGGACCAGGTTCAAGAGTGTATATATAGAGGGTGTGCATTTAGGGAGAGTGCATTTAGGGAGGGTTCTCTGTAACACCTTACTAAAAACAGTATATACAATCTGAAAAAATGCCAACACCAGCCTTCTAATCGCTATTCGAGCTGCAATATATGCAAAATATATCACTATTTAGGCTACACACTCATGCCAAAACAATTTTATACAAGCTAGTGACAATATCATTCAAACAGAAATCAACCTCTCTATAGTAATCAACAATACTTACCTCCTCTGCTTTAATTACCAACTAGCATCTAATGACCTCAAGTTACTGATAAAAAAACTTCACATCACAACCAATATCAACTCATAGTATTCACAAAAATGAATTCAAATATGGGATCCTAGCCACACACAAAATTCTATGAAATCTAATCTTTCTATACTTTCAACACAATGATAAACCACTCTAACATTTCACTAACTCTAAAATATCCAAGTTAAAAAATTTCAAATTCAAACTCCTAATGAATGAACTACCTAACTAACTTAATCTCTTCAAACGCCATCTCCTAAAACATATCTCACCTCTATGTAAACACTGCAATACAGAAATTAAAAATGATGCATATTGGCTTACATGTCTAACAATTCCTATTATACTAACCCAACTTCTTAATGATACTATTAACAACTTTCTCCAGAAATATAGCCTCATACCAACTAATACTAACAACTTTACGTAAGCATTTACCCGAATACACATAACAAACTAAACACCAATTGGTATAATCACAGAAAATACTTTAATGCCTACTAGCAGCCACAATAGTGCTATTTATTTTGATTCAGAATTACACTACACAATCATAATAGAGATACATAAATCAATATAGATATAAGCAGAATCATAGCAAATAACAATCAGCACAATGCAAATACTAACAACTTACACTTATCCAATTATAATATAACAACTTCTGACTTTATCCCCAACCCCTATATAAATAGCAAATTCTACTCCTAGCAGAATTCTTATATAAATTTCAACACTCCACCACAACACATTCTTAATATATAGTCTAGAGATCTTTCAACCTACCTAGCTAAAATTAAGGTCTAGAGTAAAGTAGCTCTATCCCCACTTTTCCTGAAAAATTATATAAACTTACTTTGTAAAAATCTGCATAATAAATAATAAAAAAACTAAGAAAAAGACCTCACTTAAAAAAAAAAAAAAAAAAAAAACATTTTACTTAGTTTTATTAGAGGCGATCAAAAAAGCACTCTTAAGATTTAAAGTACCAGATCAAGCAGCCAAGTTCATTTTAGACCTTTTTACAAAAAGACAATTTTATATTATTGCAGCATTTAAATTTACAAAAAAGATTCAAGCAAATAGCAGAATAGAACAAGAAGAAGTTATCTTCCTATTAATATGGTGAATTTTTTATAATTCACTATTATATATAGTCAAAAAAAATTAAGATTTTGGCTACAAACTTAGCTTATATATCAATTCTAAAGTTGCAAGTAATATTATTTTGAGATATGTAGCACTTGCATATACTAATAATACTATATAGATTGCTAATAGCAAGTAACAGATAGAAAAAATACTACAAATAGCAGAGCAGTTCTACAAAATTAATGATATCCAAATTAATTTCAAAAAGTTTAAGCTTCTCATACTTAATACAAGAGAAAAAAAAAAATAGTTTTAACAAAAAATAAAATAATAGCCAAGAAGAAAAACTTTTCAGTACAATTTTTAGGAATTTGGCTAAATCCTAGTATGAAGAAAACCTTCATTAAAGCCAAAGTATTAAGAATAGTTACTCAATACTATATTACAAACACTTAATGCTTAGTCAACTTGCCTATATAAATAATATGTATATTATACTTAAAGTAAGCTATATACTGCAAATATCAAAGTTATTATCTAAAACAATAAAAAAAAATCTACTAAGACTTGTCAAGAATAAAATAGAATTAGCTCGCACTATCTAATTTTTCACAAAAATTTGGGTAGCTACAGGAGTTTACAAAATAAACTTTTTATAAAGCAAATTTGCAGCTTGCAAAACAGACTCTTAGATACAAACTCTGATTCAGAATATATAAAAAAATAACTTGAACAAGGTTGGCTTTATGTAGGAATCACAAAAAGTTTGAGTAATTTGGAAATATCAAGTACTTTAAACAAAATTTAAAAACACAATCTTGCATGCCTTATACTCTTAAAAGCAAAAAAACTAGGTATAAATATTAAAATTAGCAAA